TTTTTTTTTTTTTTTTTTTTTTTTGATGGCACTGGGGATTGAACCCAGGACCTTCCCATTGAGCTACATCCCAGCCCTTTTTTATTATATATTTTGGGACAGGGTCTCACTAAGTTGTCCAGGCTGGGCTTGAACTTGTGATCCTCTTGCCTCAGCTTACCAAGGTGCTGGCATTACAGGCCTGTGCCCCTGTGTCTAGTTCCCTTTGATATTCCAAGCGGCCTTTCCCAGATCAGACACACCCTGGCACTGGACACACTGCAGCCTAAAGACCGAGTCTGTTGGAAATGATAAGTTCAAGGTCGATGCCAATAGCCCAGCGGTGCTGGAAACGCTCAGGCTTTGGAGGCTGACAGAGCTGGACCGGAATCCCCAGCTCTCCTCCCTGTGGTCCTTGGGCAAGTTACCAGGTCCCGTGACCTGCAGTGTCCTTGTGTGTAGGAGTTCACTGACATCTGATAAAATGGTTAAGAGTACAGTCGCCGGCGTTTGCATCCCAGCTCTGCTGGCTCTGCAGCTCAGAAACGGCTCAGATGTTTTGCATCTGTAAGATGGGGTTATGAGCGGTTGTCCAGGAGGTGACAGAACTCAGTGCCTGGCACACCGTAGGTGCACACGCCGTCATTATCGTGAACTGAACTGTGTGTCCAGTGCGCTCAGCCAGGGTGGGGTGGGAAGGAGCGGGGAGGTGGGCGCTGTCCCTGGCCCACCTTCGGTTGTGGTGCAGGGAGGCAAACCGTACCCTGTCTCAGGTGCTGTCCCACAACCTGTACACGGTCCTGCACATCCCGCACGACCCCGTGGCCCTGGAGGAGCACTTCCGAGATGACGATGACGGCCCAGTGTCCAGCCAGGGCTATATGCCCTACCTCAACAAGTACATCCTGGACAAGGTGGGGCCACCTGGGGGTCGCTCCTGGGCTCTCCCCTCTTCCCCAGCCGGGCCAGCACCCCAGTGCCCTGCTACTCCAAGTCCTCCCTCCTCCCAGCACACGCTCGCTTCTGCCTGCTCTGTCCATCCCTCCTCTCCCATCCGCACCCCTCACATCAGCCACCCGTCCCCTTCTGGGTCCCTGAGCTCCCCATCAGTGTCCCTCACCTCCTCTGGGTCTCACCCTTCCTGTAACCTTCTGCCCTCCCTGCTGAGGCTTCCCCAGCTTGCAGCTGCAACGTCCCCTGCTCCTCTCTCCTGGCACGGTCTTCCCAGCTTCTCCTTGGCTGTCCGCTCCTCCCCAGGTCCCTCTCCTTTCCCTGTTGGGTGGCGGTGGGTGTGTTGGGGGGATTGGGATTTGGAACCAGCTAGTTACCTGGTTATCCGCTCAGGGATGCCTCACATTTGGCCTAAGCTTGGCAGGGTGGAGAGCAGGGACATAGATGAACCCAGAAAACCACGAGGAAGCCTCATTTGGTCCTGGAGCAGGGAAGGGGCGGCGGGCTGACATGCAGGCCTGGTGGCAGGTGGAGGAGGGGGCTTTCGTTAAAGAGAACTTCGATGAGCTGTGCTGGACGCTGACAGCCAAGAAGAACTACCGAGCAGATAGCAACGGGAACAGCGTGCTCTCCAGTCAGGATGCCTTCCGCCTCTGGTGCCTCTTCAACTTCCTGTCTGAGGACAAGTACCCACTGATCATGGTTCCTGATGAGGTGAGGGTGACGACAGACTCAGGGACTGAGTCACTCGGGGCCAAGACGGAGCAAAACCATGAGAAAGGCCACATCCCCTTTCTTCACTGTCTCCCCGCCCTGGTATCTGTCCCCACCAGCCGTCTCTGTACACCTGGAACTGCTCATATCAGAGCAGCTGTTCGTTGCTCCAGAAGAACCAAAATGACTTCTGTCCAGTTCTGCTAGAGCTCAGGGGAGGAAAATGACCTCAGACTGCTAAGCAGAAGGGTAAATGCCTGCTATCGCCGAGCAGTTTAAAAATGACACTAGTTGAGATCAAATGGTGGCACTTTAGGCACTGTGGTAGTCTAGGGGAGTGCTTTATAAGGAGAAGGGAGACCTTTCTGAGACCGGAAGTAGCTCCCAGCTACGCAGGGTGGGCACCCAAGTCCCTCTGTGCCTGGCTCTGGAAGGTCCCTATCTGTCTTTTCTTCATGGAGAACCAAGGCAGATGTAGTGCCAGTCTCCAGAGAGGGGGAATCCTCAGAAGAGATGCCAAGAATCTGGCCCCCACCTCCTCAGTTCATGGGTGAAGCCAGAGTAGCCCTTTCCTGCCCACCTGCACCCTCCCTCCTCACCCCCACCACCCAGCCTGCTCTGACTCCGGTCCTCTGGTGGCGCCAGGGTGAATTTAGGTCATTGGAGTAGGGCACCCAGGGAAGCTGTTCACGAGAAGTCCTGGTGAGTGTCTCACCGCTTCTGTTGGGGGGAGCCACTTGAGCCCTGAGCTGATGTCCTCCACTAAACCCCAGCTGAGACCCGGGGGTCCCCAGGATAAGTGTCCTAAAGAGTTTCCCAAGGAGCTGCTGGCAGGAGAGGAACACGGGCACGCTGGCAGATCCCAGCAATCTGGGCCAGGTGGCCTCTCAGAGGCCAGGAGGCTTCTTGGTGCTGAGATCAACGTGCAGTGAGAGTACACAGCAGCAGGATGTACCCCAACCACCACTTCCTGTTCCTCTGTATGGGTTTCCTGTCCCTGCCCTGCTTACCTCCACCCCCAACCCCCTTGCCCTCCTGCAAGGGAAGGATTCCCAGGGTTAGGGACTGGGCTTTGGAATAAAGACTGGAATGGGAATCCGGAGATCCAAATGGAGTTCTGGCTGCCCCACATTGCTCTGTGATTTAGAGCAAGTCACTGCCCCCTTTGGGCCTTGCCTTCGTCATCTGCGAAGTGAGGGTATCGGATGAGTGGGCTCTTGTGCCTCCTCTGACACTGATTCGCTGCCTCTGCCTGGCCCCGGCTCTGAGCGCCCCTCTACAGCCTACCATAATTCAAGGCAAGCGGAATGAGACTGGCTGCGAAGGGGTGAGGTTGCTTGAATTGGAGTGGAAGCTCCAGGGCCCCCTCCCAAGCCCCTGTCCCTCATCCCCTTTGGCCAGGCAGTGGGAGCCGCACGGAGTGCCCCTGGCGTTGGTGCCGGCGCAGCCCGCTGTGCTCACCCGGCCTCCCTTCTCCCCTCCAGGTGGAATACCTGGTGAAGAAGGTGCTCAGCAGCATGAGCCTGGAGCTGGGCTTGGGCGAGCTCGAGGAGCTGCTGGCCCAGGAGGCCCAGGCGGCCCAGGCCACCGGGGGGCTCAGCGTTTGGCAGTTCCTGGAGCTCTTCAACTCGGGCCGCTGTCTGAGGGGCGTAGGGCAGGACACCCTCAGCATGGCCATCCACGAGGTCTACCAGGAGCTCATCCAGGACGTCCTGAAGCAGGTGGGCCACCGGGCGGGAGGGGAGGGCGCAGGAGGGCGGCGGGGCCCCGGGGGCTGCTGACTGGCTGTGGCCGGCAGGGCTACCTGTGGAAGCGAGGACAGCTGAGGAGGAACTGGACCGAGCGCTGGTTCCAGCTGCAGCCCAGCTGCCTGTGCTACTTTGGGAGCGAGGAGTGCAAGGAGAAGAGAGGCACCATCCCGCTGGACGCACAGTGCTGTGTGGAGGTGAGGACCCAGCCGGGCCCCAGGGTGGGTGCGCAGGGGCGGGAGGCGGGTGTGGGAGCGGAGTCCCCCAGCTCGGGAACACCTGGGGCTCGGGGCGCTCCCCTCCGCATCTGGCTTTAAAAGAACTAAAGCTGCAAATCAAAGCCCGATGTCATTGGTGAACAAGGTGGGTTCTGCTGAATATTTGAGAAGGGAGGGGTGGTGCCTTCCCTTCACAGCAAATCCTCTTAGAAACTCCCTGTAAGAGGCCCTTCTTCCCTGGGATTCTCTCTGATCACTCTGGGCCTTGCTCTTCTCTATCTCCCCTCTCCCCACCCTTCGCCTCCCCTGGTCTGTTTCTTATTATTTTAGAGGCTTAAAACAACAGTATTTTTAAAATATATTTTTATTAATGTCTATTATAATTTTACCAAAGTACTGGGTTTCAGTGTGGTATTTTCTTTTTTCTTTTTCTTTTTTGTTTGTTTGTTTGTTTGTTTGTTTGAGGAAGGGTCTCACTATGTAGTTGAGACTGACTTAGAACTCACTGTGTAGCCCAGGCTGGTCTCGAACTCACATCAATCCTCCTGCCTCGGCCTCCCGAGTGCTAGGATGACAGGTGTGCAGCACCACGCCTGGCTTCAGTGTGGTATTTTCGTACATGCACATAAGGTCATATCCACGCCTTGCTCTCCCTTATTTCCTTCCTCTTGTGTAATAATAGCCTCCTTTCTACTTTCATGCCATCTTTTTTTTTTTAATGATTCCATATACTAGGGAAACCATGTGATCTTTGTCTTTTTTTTTCTTATGGTACTAGGAATTGAACCCAGGGCCTTTGTACTGAGCTATATTTGTAGTCCTTTCTTTCTTTCTTTCTTTTTTTTTTTTTTGGTACTGGGGATCGAACTTGGGACCTTGCACTTGTGAGGCAGGCAGCCAGGCCACTGAGTTAAATTCCCAGCCTGATACTTGTCTTTCTGAGTCTCACTTATTTTGTTTAGCATGATGACATCTACTTACAGCCATTTGGCTGAATAATATTCCATCGTGTATACAGACAACATTTTAAAAACTCCATTCATCTATTAATGGGTACTTAGCTGGGTTCATATTTTGTCTATCATGGGTTGTACTGTAATAGACACAGGTTTGCAGCTATCCTTATGGTAAGCTAACTTTAGTATACCAAGGAGTGATACAGCAGGCTCATGAGGTAGTTTTATAGTTTTTGTTTGTTTGGTTGGTTGGTTGGTTGATTAGTTTTTTGAAACAAAGTCTAGCTCTATAGTTCAGACTGGTCTTGCACTCACTATGCAGCCCAGAGTGACCCTGAACTTGTAACAATCCTCCTGTCGCAGCCTTCTTAGTGCTGGAATTGTGAATTGTGTGTGTCAGTATATATGTCTTTTTGAGACAGCGTCTCACTATGTAGTTCAGGATGGGTTTGAATCCACCCGCCCAGGCTGGCCTCAAACTCACAGCAATCCTCCTGCCTCAACCTCCCAAGTGCTGGGATTAAAGGCGTACACCACCTTCTTTTTCTATTCTTTTTTTTTTTTTTTTTTTTTTTTTTTGAGACAGGGTCTCACTATGTAGTTGAGACTTACCTGGAACTCATTATGTAGCCCAGGATGGTCTCGAACTCACAGAGATCCTCCTGCCTCAGCCTCCCAAATGCTGGGATTGCAGGCAGGCACCACCATGCCTGGCTTTCTTTTTATATTCTTGATGATAGCAATTCTGATTGAGGTGAGATAAAATCTCAGTTTAGGTTTTTTTTTTTTTTTTAATTGAGCTGAGGGTTTTTGCATTGGGGATTGATCCTCAGCCATCTTTTACTTTTTCTTTAGATACAAGGTTTCCACTAGGTTGAAACTTTGCCCAAGCTGGATTTTAATTTGTGACCCTCCTGCCTCAGCCCCCGCCACACCCCCCACAGAGGAGCTGGATTACCTGTGTGGGCCACCACACCCAGTTTATTTTATGACGCTTTGCTTTGCATTTCCCTAATGGCTACAGATGTTGAACATTGTTTCATGTACTTATTGACCATTGCACTTCTTTTGAAAAGTGTGTTTATTCTCTTACTTCTTTTTGTTTTTATTTTTTGGTACCGGGGATTGAACTCAGGTCCTTGCACTTGCAAGGTAGGCCACCGAACCACTGAGCTAAATCCCCGGCCCCTATTCTCCTACTTTTTGATTGAGCTATTTGGGTGTTTTGGTTTTGAGTTCTTTATAAATACTAGGTATTAATCCTCTCACTGCTTTAGAGTAGCTGGAAAAAAATTTCCCCCATTTTGTAGACTGTTTTTCACTCTTGGTAGTTTCCTTTGATGTGCAGGAACTCTGGACTTGAATTTGTGATCCTCCTGTCTCAGCCTCTCAGATTTCTGGGATTACCAACATGCACCACCACACCCAGCTCAGAAATTTTAATTTGCTATGGTCTCATTTGTTGATTCTTACTATTACTTCCTGTACTATTGGAGTCCCATTCAGGAAGTCTTTCCCTGTGCCTGTGACTTCCAATGTTTTCCCTAGCTTTCTTCCAGCAGTTTCAAAGTTTCAGGTCTTATACCTAGGTTTGGACCCATTTTGAATTGATTTTTGTTCAGGGTGAGAGATATGGATCTAGTTTAAACCTTCTACATCACAATATCCAGGTTTTCCACCTCAATTTTTAAAGAGGCTGTCCTTTCTCCTATGTATGTTTTTTGGCCCCTTTGTCAAGAATCAGTTGGCTGTAGTTATGTGTTTTTTAAAAGTATCTTCTGTGATCTTCTACTAGGTGTTCATTTTTTGTGCCTGTACCATTCCTGCTTTTTGTTGTTGTTACTATGGTTTTGTAGCAAAATTTAAAAGTAGGTAGGGCTGGGGATTAGCTTAGTGGTACTGTCAACTGGCTTGCAAGTGCAAAGTCCCTACTTTGATCCCCGGTATCAAAAACAACAAATAAATTTGGGTATTGTGATGTCTCTAGCTTTGGTCTTTTTGATTAGGGTTGCTTTGGCTTTTCTGAATCTTTTGGTTTTTTCCACTGAATTTTAGGATTTTTTTTTCTAGTTTTGTAAAGCATGTCATTGGAATTTTGAGGACTGCATCAAATCTGTAAATCACTTTTGGTGATATGGCCACTTTAACAACACTAATTCTTCCAGTCCACGAACAGAGGGGCCTGTCTTTCCACCTCCTGATGTGCTCTTCTTCAATTTCTTTAGTGTTCTGTAATTTTCACTGTAGAAGTCTTTCGCTTCCTTGATTAGGTTGATTCCTTCAGTGTTTTGTTTGGTGGGGGGTTTTTTAAAGCTATAAAATAACAGTATTTTAAACAGACATGAAATTTGCCATTTTAACCATTTTAAGTGTTTATTCAGTGGCAGAAAGTACCTTGACAATATTGTGCAACCCTCACCACTTATTTCCAAAACTTTCATCATCCACACAGAAACTCCCCACTGAGTAATAATCCTCATCCCTCCATCTCCTGAGCCCTGGTAGCCTCTATTTTACTTCCTGTCTCTATGAATCTATCCTAGGCACTTTATATTAATGAAATTATACAGTAGTTGTCCTCTTGTGTCTGGCTTCTTTCACTAAGCATAATGTTTCCAAGCCTTATCTATATTGTAGAATGTATCTGAATTTCATTCATTTTTAAGGCTGAATAATATTCCATTGTATGGATATACCACATTTGGTTTATTTACCTGTTGATGGATATTACAGTTGTTCCCACCTATTCGCTGTTGTGAACAATGCCGCTATGGGCAAGTTTCTGTGTGGATATGTTTTCATTGCTGCTGCGTGAATACATCCTAGCAGCAGAATTATGGGATCAAATGGTAATTCTAACTTTTGGAAGAACTGTCACAGTTTTCTTCAGCAGCTATATTATTTTGTATCTCATGTATAAGGATTTCAATTTTTGTACATCCTTAGCAACTTGGCTATTTTATTTTTTAAATTACCGTTATAGCCACCCTAGGCTCTGTCTATTTTTGTCACATACAGAAAAGATCTAGGCAGAACACCCAGCTTCCTTAACAGGCATGGTGGGTTAGACAAGTTCTGGGGCTCACAGAGCCTCAATCTCTTCCTCTGTAAAGGGGAGCTAATAAGCCTGCCTGGCAAAGGTGTGGGGGTCGTGGTAAAATGAAGCCAGGTGTGGTGGCTCATGATGTGAGCCCAACAATCAGGAGGCTGAGGCGGGAGGATTGCTGTGAATTTGAGCACAGTAAGGTCTTACATAGTAAGACCTTGCCTCAGGGGAAAAATCACTTGTACAGACACTAGAACATAAGAAGCTCAGTGTGTGGCAGCTGCTCTGTGATCCCAAACTCAGCATCCCAAATCCCCAGAGCCAGGACTAGCATTTAGTAGATGCTCAACTCCTGTGGAACAAATGAACTTTCACCCCAGGCAGGGCCATTGGAAATGAGCGGTTGTAGGTAGTGAGGCCCCTGTCGATGGAAGTGTTCAAGCATGTGCTATGCGTTTGGCCCTGTGGAGGCCACCGGGACCAGCTGTGGCCCTGACCTCAGCCTGCGGGGCCACCCGCCTCTCCCAGGTGCTGCCGGACCGCGACGGGAAG